CGCCCGGTTTTGGGGGCTGCAGCGGGGCTGGCAGCCTGGGTGGCTGCCTGTACAGCCAGCGCCCTTTAAGCGGAGCCTGGAGCTTCACAGCTTAGGCGTGTAGTCAGTTTAATCACACCCAAGTAGAAGAGATGTGGTTTCTTCTTCTGGCGGTGCTGCAGCTCGTCCCCGAGAACCGGCGTGTCGAGCTGGCTGCTGCCCCAAGACCCGCAGGACCTTTCCCCCGCTTGCCGAGGACGGGCGCCCAGCTCTGGCCACGACACAGGCAGCGGGACCGACCGGGGTTCCCCCACGGAGTGGCCTTGGCTTTACAAGACTGCTGGGAATAAAAACTGGCTCTGAGGCCATACCAGCCGCCCGCCTTGCAGCTGCAGGGAGGGGGGAGGACGGAATGGTACGCCAGGAGCAAGTCGTTGAGGCTTTATTTGGGAAAGGCCTGGAAAGACATTGCTCATCACCGTGCAGGCAGGCACAGCTCCACCCGCCCAGTCCCTAGCAGAGAGCTTTTGTTTAATACACCCAACGCTCGCCGCTATCGCTCGGCTTCTGCAGCAAGCGTGTAGATCAGATCTAGACAGTAGTTTAGCCTGCTCTCTGCTACAGACGTGATGGTGGAGCAGCGCCGGGATGGAGCAGGCTTCTTCTGGGCATTTCTTTGATGGTTAGATGTCTACAGTTTTTTGGAAGGTGTAATGCTGTACCTATAACAGGAGGACCGTGTGCCATCATTTTCAGATAATCCTTCCCAGCCTAGCCAGTCCTTAGCCCAAAACGTGCCTGCAAGGGTTTAGGTACCTGGAGTAAACCCAGCTCGGTTTTGGTCTCCATGTGCCCTCTGCCGGGCGGCATCAGCTGGAGGCAACCATGGAGTCGGAGCCCGCGGAGATTTTCTTAACCAAGCACAGCCCCTTTTAGAGCTAAAATTTGTTTCTACTAATGCAGCACCCTTCTCCCTGCCAAGAAAGCAAGCATCGAGCCGGAGTGCGCCGCAGCCATCGCACAGAGCCACGCTCAGAAACCCCTCCCGGGGCTGGGGACTTTCTGCGGGCACCATCCCCTGTGCCTGTGGGACCCACTGGCCCCGCCTGGTACATACAGCTAAGGAGACAAGAGATTTTATTGTGTTTTATTTAGTAAAATGTTAAAATAAATAAATACAAATTGATCAGATGCTCTGTACCCCCTCCCCCCCCAACTTTAATTTGCTAAAATCTAAACACATTTGTACCAAAACTGAAACCACAAGGGACTTGAAGGCAGCAAAGAGACTGCAGATCACTATGAGCATCAGGCTAAAAAAAATAGAGATATTTAAAAAACCCAAACCAGCTCATGAGTCGGTGTTCTCATGATGTGATTCTGTGACAACAGAGCGGTACCGGTCAGAAAGGGCATTTTACACCAGGGCCTGCAAAGACGGGAGATTGGTGGGGAGAGGGGCAGCACGGGCGGCACCGGCTCACGGAGGGCAGAGCCATGGCTTTGCCGTGCGGAAACCCAGCCGGGAGAGAAGCTGCCACCGTCCCCTGGCAGCCGCCAGAACTGGGGGCTGTTCACCAAAAGCACCTGGAGAAAGTCGGGCAGGCTGGGGGGGGACCGGGGCTCGGAGACACGGCGCCCTTCAGCGTCAGCTCCTGGTCCGACCCCAAGCCAGGACTCCCGCTCTACAGCTTGGTCTCGGGTAAGACGCTGGGGGTGTGGGGGCACGGGACGAAGCAGGGCACATAGGCAGGGTGGTGGCATCAACAAGTCTACCGAGATGGTGCCGGCATGATCACAGGAACATGAAGCTGTGATCGAGGCCTGAGTATTTTCTCTACACAAGCAGAGCTGCCTTCGCAACCCGCCTGCCCTCAGCTGCGGACGACATGGTGGGTGTTTGCAGATTAGAGCCAGTCAGCCCCCGAAAGATGAAGTACCGTGTGGGAAGCCACCCCACCACCGCACCAGGACCTCCCGGGCGAGCTGCAGCTCACCACCACTCCTCTGCACCACGGGCTCCACCGCTGTTAACACTGCAAAGTTGTTTCCTTCCTCGGCAGGAGCCTGACCAGGTTGGCACTAGCTGTCTTCCTCCCTTGCTTCATCTTTGCTTAATGTAGTTTGCAACAGCACCCTCGTGCTTTGCTTCTGCGGGACTATGAGAGACGGCCAGGGTGCTTCTGCCAGCGTAAGAGGGTGCCTGGGGGGGCCCTGCAGCTGTAACTGGAGTGGAGCAGCCCGTGGGGCACGACCGCCTGTTGGCTCTGGTCGCGTGGGGCTGCAGGGAAGCTGTCCGAGCCTCAGGGGTTTATGTGGTAGCAAAAACCCTCCTTAAGGAAGGTCTTGGCTGCCCGTCACGTATGGCATCAGGAACGACTCAGAGACAACGTACCTTCGGGAAGGGAGAGCTGACGGGTAAGATGCTACTCCTGGCTCGAGAGTCAATCACTGTTTTGATGCCAGTGATAATTAAAGTAAAGAAACATATGAGACTATGATTAGAAATTACACATTAGCCCAGAACAAGCAGAAACACGCAGCCTGCTGCCGCACCCAGCACGGAGCGTGACTGCACCTCTTCTTTCAACAGTGCCCGTTCCCAGTGCCTGCAGCCCATGAAAAACAGCTCTTGCAGCGTCAGAACTGCCGGTACCCGCATTACGGAGGGGAACGCGAAGCACAGAGGCATTCTTCCTTTCTCTTTTAAATAAGTGCCCTCCCTCCCTCAATTTTGGCATGCCCCGCCTGATGGATCTGGATAACGAGCAAGGGGAGGCCCCTGCCCTTGCTTGCACAAGCACAGCGTCTTCCCAGCGCAGCTGCATTATCAACCCTCAGCGCTGGGGATCCAAAATCATGGGTGGCCACTGAACACAGCCCCGGGGAGCTGGCCTCTGCCGCTGCTGGACCTGCATAAGCGACCGCCTCCCTTCCCCGCCTGAGCTACACCCCCAAAGCCATTCTGGTTGCTCACTATGAAAAGTGATTTCTCGAAGCTCAGAGGCAACAACACTTCATTTCTTTTCCAACAACACAGAAAAAAGAAGGCAGGCAACAGAAAGGCAGGAATTGGTCGAGATCTACGTTTTCCAGTGCAAATTTAGGAAAAAGAAAAAAGATGCAAATTCCCCAGGTGGTGAAAAGCCTGCTGAATGCCAGCAGACTGATACTGCTCACTGCTCGCTGCTTTCTGCTGCTGTCTTTCCATGCTACCTCTCCACCCAGGACAGAGAGAGCCAAGCTTACAAGGCTTTTGAGTTTCCCAGGCGCTCCCGATAGTAAACATGCTCTTAAGTACTTCTTCCTTCCTAGATGGGGACTGGGCTGAGTTTCTCTGTCTGAAGCATTTGACACCTGCTTGCATACTACAGAGTGAAGAACAGACACAGAGGCCTTACTACCCTGCTAACGCAGTATAGCCGGGACAGCCATTCTCCCAGGAAGGTGCCCCATGGGCTGCTGCTTAATGTAGCCTTGATGCAGGCCCTCAGCACGGCTCTCCAAGCTCAGCTCCCCAAGGGTTACGTTAAACTTACCACATGCCCCTGTCTAGCTGCACTGGTGAACTGCCTTTTTACACGTGTCCCTAAATAAACCAGATCCTAAGAAAACAGGGAGGCATTGCTGCACAGAGGGGTTTTGGCACAGAACCGCCAGACGTGATGGCCCAGAGAACAGGAACCTTGCACAGATACTCCAAGAGGCAACCGAGAAGTACCTGACTCACAGGTCCTGCCCGGCATCATCTCCTCTGCTCACTCGGGACCCAGGACCCCTGGAAGCTGACACTGGTTTCAACTAGGCTGATTGTGACACTCGAACTAGGAAGGTGCAACTACACTGGCAAGCTGAACCTTTGGCTAGTCCCGGGAATATTTCTAGCCAGGGAAATTTTTAATTAATTCAGTCCAGATTAGAGCAGGTTCTGGCTGCCCCAAGGTCTGCTTGATCTGCCTTGTCCCACGTTGTAGCACAGAAGTCAAACAAGGCTCCGGTCAGGATGGGATGACTCGGCAGCACAAGCAGAGCTAGCGATGTCTTAGTGCCCACTTCCTTCCCCATCTGCAGCTAAGAAGCTCTTTTCTCCCACCACACTTGGTCCTTTTGGAACACAGATCAATCCAAGTCAGAAATTGAGGTAGGAGAAACACCCTTTTTGTTCCAGTCTTTCCATTGTAATTTCAAACCCTGTAACTGCAGGGATACCCGTCTCCTCATAATGGAGTCCTATTTCCCTCCTGGATTTTTCCTACCCTCACT